TTTTATTTTATTTTATTTTATTTTATTTTATTTTGCTTGTGCTTGTGCTTATTTGTTTGCTGCTTTGCTTTAGTGGTTGATTCTTGATTCTTACTGGGGTGTTGTGTTCTTGAGGTGTGGATCTTGGTTATTGGTCGAGTTGCAAATTACCGCTTTATGTTGTCAAGTCAAATCAAATCAGCTTGCCCCTTATTTCCCTCTGACGCAAATCCATGTGGTACGTGCCAGTATGTGTTCCATGGTGTAGGTATGGTCTGACCGTTTGCACAAGGACAAGGACAAGGACAAGGACAGGTACAGGTACAGGTACAGGTACAGGTGCAGGTGCAGGTACGGATACGTCATTTGGTTTGTGTGAATTGGCGGCGAGTGATGGATTGGATGGGATGGAATGGGATGGGTGTTGGATGTATATAGGAGAGTGAAAGTCCAAAGTGTACTTGCGCTCAAGCAAATCTCTTGTATTGATTGTCAGGCGAAGGCTGAATTTGCAGCATGAAGGCAGGGACCTCCAAGTGACTGGGGTATAGCAAAAAGTGAATGTCATAGCAGAGTCAGTCCTTCGCCCAACAATTATCTAGGTAATTAATTATCTTTGCATTGAATTTCGCGGCTGTGATGCTCTCACGAGCTATTCCCAGCGTCTAATTCTAAGAAACAATAATACGTATTGAATACAGGCTGATGCAATTCACACTGCTGGTTGTAGGGGATTCAATGGCGGGGTTAATTGCTAGTGCTCTATCGTATATATATACCTCTTTGCCTCGCTGTTTTGCTTCTCCACTCAACGAAAGGTATTAGGTTTTGACTTCAGCTGCAGTCATCTGCTCAACGCATACTCTTTGGATACCCGTTTTGTTCTTTACGCCTTACATCTTGCTTCTCTTCCATTGTCTCCCTAGTGGAGAACTACGAATGCGCACTGTCACCGTCACCCGAAACCTTCAGTCCACTATCATCAGACCGACTATCAAGGTCCCTTGTCCCATCAAGTAACTTCAAAATGAAGAGCTCCAGCTTCCTGGTTCTGCTTCTTCCGGTTCTCCCGCTTGCCTCGGCGTCGGCTGTGCTACCTGCCGACTTCTCTAACTTCACGAATGTCGATCCTAGGGTTACCAAATGTGCCAGTAAGTTCCAAGTCACTCACTCGAAGAAGGTGGATGCTGACTTTTAATCCAGACTCCGTGCAATGTGCTTCTGCTGCTTGCAGTTGGACAGAATGTTACGCAAATGCCAAGAAGTACCCAAGTAACGCTGAGATCGACGGTGGCGGCTTGGCCGAATGCCTCTGCAAGCCAGATGCCAACTTTACGTGGCAATCCAACCCTCCACCAGCAGGCCGCATCTTCCGCCCAGAATGGGAGTGCGAACTCATTGGATGCATCGAGTGCTTTGAGCATGCCTTGGGAACCGATAACACTGTCTCTACCGATATGAAGGTTATCATTGAGTCCGCTACTTCGTCGCCGCTGGGATTCTGTGTCATTCCTGATGAATTTGGTTTCCGTCAGCGTTCTAGAGAGTTGAAAGACGCTCATAACTTTCCGCTTTTGCTGCCAATGGCTAATTTGTCGCCGCCACCTGCTGCAAAGAGAGAGCCTGTTGGTGAACATCCAGTTGCAACCCCGGACGTTGATCATCACGCGAAGTGCGAGGATAGCTGGGTTGGTCCGATTTCTCCCCAGGTTGAAACCTGTTTGGGTATGTATCCTTTCCCTAGCATCTTCAACAAATACTGACAAGTATAGACACCTTTGCATGCACTCGAAGCAAGTATCTGTTCAACTATTGCTTGGAAGAGTAAGCAATCCTCCTAGCCAATTTCAGTGTCAAATTCAAGAATCTAGACATTCCCTTTTTTTTTTTTTGGAACTTGAATTCATGTAACGCTAATCTGAACTTATAGAGTCCCCAACCATACCGATGCCAGCGTAAACTTCAACTGTCTATGTGGATATCCCGACAACCCAGGTAGTTTCCGAACAGAGTGGTACGGCAACAGTACCGGCGCTGACGGCCTTGCAGCGCAATGCGCACTTTGCATCTCCGAAGCCGTGCCCGGTGCTGCTCGCCTGACGGATAACATCTACGGTGCCATCAGCACGTACTGCTACAATCCTGTCGATTCCCCCGACGGAACCTGGACCCGCAACGAGATGATCGGATGGGGCAGCGACGCCACTTTCAAGTACAAGGTGCCGATCACGCTGCTGAACACTACGATTGCTACGAAGACGCCGTGGAGTATTCCTGCTGATTTTAACGGGGACTGGGCTGATACACATCCGTGGACTGGATGAGTTGTCTGTTGTTTGCTTTTTGGCGTATCATGGCGTTGATGGGAATGTGGGGGGAGAACGTACTTGATGGGAGGTTTCTGGCACATCATGATAAAAGTATTGGCTTCTTCGCAATGAAAAGAACTAAACCATGAATGAGTTGCTAGCATATGATGTGACGTGTGAAAAATAAACCTGCCGCTGACTAGATCACCATCCTATGAATTCTCGTGATCTCTTTGACTTTAAAAGCGAATTACAGCACAGCATTCAATAAGGAATTTTTTATATAGCAATCTGTTTTAAGCCTCTAGTCCTCAGCTCAGCACGAAAGTACTTGCATATCCATCTACTATTTATACTATAAATAAACCTAAGAAGTTCATCCTCGGAATCTACAGATTTAATTAGTAATAAGAAAGGATTTTTTAATAATAGATATAAGTTTCTAGAGCCGATATCTTACTATATGGCTAATAATACAATTTAAGCGCGCGCGCTAAACCTCAATTCGCACGTTTTTGCCAAGACTTACAAGCTGCCTTTATTGCCAAGGTCTCGTCTCTTCTTTAATGATAAGAAACATAGCTGATCTCGGGAAATGGATATATCAATGACTGGGCAGCAAGGATATCCATACCGCGCACTTCAACCCAATACAATTCGCCTCCTTCGTGTGTACCAAGGCGCGGTGAACAATCTTGTCTGCGACCTGGAAGTCGCACATATCGATCGACTTCCCAGTTACGAGGCATTGAGCTATTGCTGGGGCGATCCGAGCGAGAAAATACCTATTGAGTGCAATGCATCTGGAGGGCTGGCTATTACAAAGAACCTCCACTCTGCCCTCCACTGTCTCCGGCTGTCAAATCAACCGCGGCTTATCTGGGCCGACGCAATATGTATCAACCAGGAGGACATAGAAGAGCGCAGCTCCCAGGTGCGGTTAATGAAAGACATCTATCAGCGTGCGTCCTCGGTTGTTGTTTGGCTGGGTGAGCCTATTGAAGTTGATGGCAAAGATCTCTGGCCTATCCCGCCGCTTCTGGAGGCCGCGCAGAAGAATCTCAAACGCACCCAGCTACCGATTCGACACGGGACCAAGGATTGGGTCAGGCACGTACTGCGGCCAGACTATACGACAAATGGAGATCTAGAAGACAAGCGATGGAATGCGATTATCAAGAGCTTGATATTGTTGCTCCACCGCCCTTGGTTCCTTCGTACCTGGATCATCCAGGAGGTTGGTCTCGCTACCCATGCAATAGTGATATGTGGAAGTCACTCGGCGAGCTGGGAGGACTTTTATCGCGCGGTTAGCTACGCTATTGATTTGGATTATTTCTCCGCTACGCTGCCGGAAATGTACAGTTCTATGCAGAATATCGAGAGAGCGCGTCGGGATCTTGCTCGTCAGCAGTACCTCCGCCCTCTTGATCTTTACGCTTCATTTCGAGTATTTCTTGCCACGGACCCGCGAGATAAAGTCTTCGGCCTTTACAGTTTATTTAGTCCTTCGGATCTTGCTGTGGTAGAATTGCAGCCGGATTACAATCTAGATCTAACTACAGTCTATACACAAGCCACGATAGACTGTATTGCTACCGAGGGGAATTTGGATGTTCTCTCCTTTGGCGGCCAAGACTGCCTCGTGGCACATCACCAACTTCCTACCTGGGTTCCTGACTGGGCCTACCAAGACCGCACAAAACCATTGCTGCCACGGTTTCTGTCCACTCTCTCGTTCGGAGAGCACCAATGGGCTCGTACATGGCAGTCAGCGACTGGAACAAGTTACCCAGTAGTGGAGCTCTCGGAAAACAAAAAGTGCATTATGCTTTCTGGCTACGTGCTGGATCGAGTCTTGGACACTGGTGGGACACTTGAGAAAGAGTACTATACGTCAACACCAGGCCATCCCCTACTAGAAATCAACATAGTCATGAAAAAATGCAGCGACGTCTTCGAGAAATGGGAAGATATCTGTGGCGTAAGCGCCAGCATTCCATACTTCACCGGCGAGGCAGCTTGGGACGTATATTGGAAAACGCTCCATGCAGGCGGCTATCCGCACGGCGACGAACAGACAACCAAAGCGACATTTTCAAAATGGTACCAGCCATTCCGGGACCTTCGCTCCAATACTGAGTACACAGCTAATCGCATTGAAGAGATCAAGAACAGTGATTCTAGCACGGCGTACAAGATCGCCGCAGGTGTGGGGTGGTTTGGAAAAGTGACGTATAATGCAATGAGATTCGGGATGGGTTTGGTCATGAATAAAAACAAATTCCCGCCGTCGAAAATACTGGCTTTTCATCGGACGCTGTTCAAGACCGAACGAGGGCTTGTCGGGCTTTCGTCTCGGCATGTTAGGAAGGGTGATGCTATTGCCCTGTTCAAAGGAGGAAAGATGCCGATGGTGCTTCGTGAGGCGGGAGACGGGGACTGGCGTGTTGTGGGGGATAGTTATGTTCATGGTATTATGAATGGGGAGGAGTTTGATAGATCTAGGTGCGATGCGCTGCGTATTGGTTGAATAGAATTAAGGCGTTAAGGATAACTATATAGTAAATACGGTAGAACTTCTTACTGTAATTTTCCATACGCTAATGCCTTCATGCGTTAAATGAGTAGGTGGCATCAATCATGTTGGTATCCGGATTACTCGGAATACTACAAGGCCGTATTCACAGCCAATGCTAACGGAGAAATGGGAGATCGAATATATACTAGGTCTTTGGGAGTTGCTGATTGATTGCTATGATGCTTGGACCTTTTATCCTAGGAGTCTTGGATACTGAAGACATAAAAATCTTTCTTGGGGGTGACAATGTAATGGTAACAGATTGGGTAAAAGCGAAATTTGACTATTGCTGCACTTGAATAACAAAGACGGATACCACAAAATCGTAGAACAAAAAGATATAGAGGCAGATTTTCAACTTTCAACTTAAGATTCTTACTTTCATTATGTAAGAGAGGAAAGAAAAGGGGGCAACGCGAGGATGTGGTCATATCACGTGAATACCACTTTACGCGCTTTTCGCGAAACGCGTTCCCGTTGTCCAAATCAACGTCAACTTTTATACATCTGCAAAAACCCGCGACTTTCAAAGACATACCTCCAAGACGCCCTCAAAAATGTCAGACTACGAAGATGAGATGGATATTGACACGCCTGCGGCCAATGATGCCATTCTTTTCAGCTCGGAAAATATCAATTCAAAGGGCAAGAGAAGCGCGGCAAATCTCCCAGTCGAGGCAGAAGACAGCTTACCATGGTTAGTATTCCCATGCGCATTATGATTTCAATTTCTAACACCATAAGGGTTGAGAAATACCGTCCAGATACCCTCGAAGACGTCTCGGGCCACCAAGACATTCTCGCAACGATCAACAAGTTTGTAGATACAAATGTACGTGCACCCAAGACTATGGCAGGACGGGACTGACATGAGAGCAGAGGCTCCCCCACCTTCTTCTATATGGCCCTCCAGGAACCGGAAAAACATCTACAGTCCTCGCCCTTGCCCGACGGATCTATGGAGCAAAGAATATGCGGCAAATGGTCCTGGAATTGAACGCTTCTGACGACCGTGGTATTGATGTAGTGCGCGAACAGATCAAGACGTTTGCTAGCACAAAGCAGATCTTCATAATGAATCCAACAAACAACCCGGCGACCTCGATTGCGACATACAAGCTTATTATTTTGGACGAGGCTGATGCGATGACATCGACGGCACAGATGGCTTTGAGACGAATTATGGAGAAATACACGGCAAATACGAGATTTTGCGTTATTGCGAATTATACACACAAACTCAGTCCGGCGCTGCTGAGTCGATGCACGAGATTCAGGTTCAGTCCGCTGAAGGAGAGGGATATACGAGTACTGGTGGACAAGGTCATTACGGAGGAGAAAGTCAATATCAGTCCGGATGCTACAGATTCGTTGGTGAAGTTGAGCAAGGGTGATATGAGAAGAGCTTTGAACGTTTTGCAAGCGTGTCATGCAAGCAGTAAGTCTGTTTCCCTGGACATATTATCATCCTACTAACATTCCTGTCCCCAGGTACCCCGCTGCATATCAAAGGCACCCCCAAAATTGCCGAGAAGGACATCGTCCGAGACCTGATTACCGAAACTACAATCTACGAATGTATCGCGTCCCCACACCCAGAAGATATCACCAAAATCCTCAACACCCTTTTGAAGACCACCGATGTCACATCCTGCCTCTCAACCATCAACTCCCTCAAAGCAACCCAGGGACTGGCCCTAGCAGACATCATTACCTCGCTCAGCGAAGAGCTCACGAAACTGGATGTCCCGCCAGCGGTCATGATCACATGGCTAGACGGTTTGGCTGAAGTGGAATACAGGCTGAGCGGCGGAGGTGGAGAGGTCGTACAGACAGGCGCTGTGGTTGGTGTTGTACGGAATGGTGCTGAGCTTATCGGTGAGGTGAAATGAAGAAATGTGGTTAAGGAGTGATGTCTGCATAATAGCTTTGGCGTTGGGGGATTTGGTATGAATACCTATGTTGAAAACACGGCTGCGCATTGGGTTGAAGGTATTACGGCACTGGGTATATTGTAGCTGCGAGAAATGAAATGTATGACCTCGAGGCGTAGCCGCCACACCATTTTCTTTCCGTGTCGCTTCTTCCTAACCACTCAACATACACCCTACCTACGACGGTCAGCTGAAGCCAAGCTTTAAAAATCATCCCTTCTCCATTCTCATAATTCTCCCAATGTTCATTAATGTTGCAATGTCTCCTCCTTCCTCAGTTCCTCCGTCCCTTGGCTTTTCTTCCAGCAACAATATTTATAGGATACTTTAGTTAATACCTTAAGCCCTCGCGATACAACAGCGCACGGGATCGATGTTTATACAGGGCATATAATCCAACCGGATGTACAGCTATTCATTCAGTCCTTGGAAATTTCTGTCTATAGTACTGTGCCGTGGCCGGATGATCATTTAAGTTGGTTTCTTTTTATTGCGTATCAGGGATAATAAGGTTTTGCTGTGTGTGTTGTGTGGAGAACTTCTACCGAGAACTGAAGTATTGAATTTTGGTGTCGTACTTATTGGGACATGTAAGATGCTCGCGTAAAAAGAAGTTGGTTTATGTTTGAGTATATACATTCTATTCTCAAGGTCTGGGTATCCTTTCTGAATACTCAGAAAACCCAATATCTACGCTGAGTCTTGTGGTATCTCCCAACAAAGCTAGGCTTTTATATCGCGCCGGACACCTGTGCTACTCCCAGCCACAACATTTCCTGTTTCGAGGCGGCCATCTACAGTTCCAATTATTCGATCGAACATTGCACTTCATCCGGACAGCACTTAATCTTCGTTACCACGAACGCCGGATTGAAGTGCGTCTCGTTGTCCGACCCGTACTCGAGATTCGGCACTGTCGCGCCGCCAAATCCACACCACACGTTGTCAAAGTCGGCCCATGGGTCAACGGTCTCAATTGCATGGCCACCGCCTGATAATACAATATTAGTATTGTGAACGAGGCTTGTTTGTAATGATGAGGAACACTTACCGATCGCATAGAGCTGATTGGAGACGGGGAAGTTCTTGAGGATGTAGGAGACGTCGTTTGCATCGACCATTGTCAAGTCGATTTTGGTTGGGACGGCAGGAACTGTTGTGTTGGACAAGGGCCGGGACATGTTGACTGGGGATCGACTACCAAGAGGAGTGAAATCGGCTTTGATGGCGTCGAATGTAAGCTCGATGGGGGTTTTACTGTCAGTGGGTGCTGCAACTGGGGATCGGCCATCAAGAGGAGCGAAAT